TAGGGAACATATAATGGCAGAATTTTTTTAGTATAACACAATAGCAAACAAACAACATTGAGAGTTCACAAAGAAAAAATATATAATAAAATAACACGAAACCACTAATTCTGATATTACCAAGCACAAATGAAGAAATGCAAGCACTGAGATACGAGCTCCCTTCAGCAGTGTTTTGTCAACCAAAAGCATTTCTTATGAAAATCCTAAAAATTTGTGTAATTTCTTTTCTGTCACGCATAGTTGGTCTCAATACTGTTATTATTGCATCAGCTGTATGTACCCTGTTCTCGTATACTTGTGTAGAGTTGACTGTTCTTCATGCCATTGCCTTGTCTTGTTTAGGGGAGACGGGAGCTGCTGTTCTTCATGCCATTGCCTTGTCTTGTTTAGGGGAGACGGGAGCTGCGTCAGGCTGCGATACCACGACTTTCTTATCGTCTCAGTTATGTGATCGGTGCTTACCGCAAGTGTAAAACAAATAAATGAAAATGCAATGTCCACATAGAAACGAATGAGAGATAAGGGAGCGGGAAAATGTACAAGTGTGTTACATCGCTGGCGGGAAGAAACAGCGTTGCACACCTGGAGAGAACGAACGGAAGCGACGGTGGTTTGGCAGGCATTTCGAGGAACGACCGCCTTCGCCGGACATTTCTTGACGATGGGCCATCGTGTGCGAAGCAGAAACATTGTCTATTTCACTGTACACTTATTTTTGCTCTCCACATTCACCACTATGCTCGCGCATTCGTTGTTGATTTCCTTCGCTCCTTTCTACAAGCACTACGGTCGAAAGCATAAAAGACGCAGCTTCAAGAACGCATCTCTTTTTGTACGGTGTACTGCAAGCATTCCTCGCCCTTTTATCTGCCTCTGCTCGCCAGCAGGCACAAGAGCTGGTCCTAGGTGTGGGAAAAAAGAGATAACGAAAATAAGAAGAACCAGTGGCCTAATGCCGATTACCATGAGGACAACCGTGTGGCGGTGGCACCCGCCATTCACCCATCATTCTGCATGGACGCATTCTCTTTTGCCGGCATTTCCACGCGACCTCCAACAAAGGAGCAAAGGCACGAAGAATGCTCGCTCCCGGGCAGAGACATCGTTGTCGACAGCCGTCTCGACAGTTACGTATAGGCTCAAAAGAAAGCAAAGGAGGAGCACAAAGTGGACGGCGACGTAATGAATTCGCACAAGCCGTTGACGTTCCCATTAACGCTGCAACCTTCCCTGCGCTCACCCGTCCAAATAATTATTCGAGATGGTTGAAACAGGCAGAAAGTAACAAAAAAAATCTTAGTGAAATCGTGTGAACTCGAGTTTCGCAATAAAGGTGGTGTAAGTACCGAACATTTCTCAAAAATATTGGACTTGAACTGCTCTGTCATAAGACATGCAGGTAAATACTCTGTTCACAAGGAAATAGTATACATTAGGTCGTCGGTCAATTCAATTTTAGGTGAGATTTCTCTTGCTTCCGTCGACCGCAAGCTTACTTCATCTATATAACATTTAGGGTGTGGCGCGGACTGAGGTATGTTGACAATAATATTGTTTTCTTTGAAGCTTATAGCGATGCTATTTATCCTACTAAGGTTTGACAGATCATAGAGCAGTTCTCTACCGTCTCCGATGGTTTTATGTTCACTCACTAGAAGCCTGTCAACAGTAGCGAGTAGCCTATCATTCATAGATTTAAGATTAGTATTTGAACAACGTCACGTGTGTTGGATATACAGCCGAAGAACAAGCACGGCTTTGTTGCCACATAACAGCGCTCATTACAAGTTAACCAAAAGAGCTATTGTGACGCTGTGTTGCCGTTCAGCTCTAGAGAAATCGTGCCAATACAGAGTCCAAGAAAGCCTTGCGTACGAATTTGAACGCATGAGCAAAGCCGGCTATCCTCCTGATCTCATTGTGAGTTGCTGTGAGCGTGATTCGCAGAACGTGAAAGCTTAAAGAAAAAAAAAAGCTGCAGCCTACAGTAGTTAAACAGCCACTTCCGTCCATAATGCCCTACTTTCACTGTTTATCGCACACAGTGAAAAAAATCGAATCGGTTTGGAGTAAGAATGATTTTTACCGCCCCATGCAAATTGGTCAAAATATGCGCAACGATACACAAAGAAGAGCGCTCTGGCCGCGAAAAACGTCATGCCGAAGTTCTCACTGATTGTAAATTTGATGTATAGGATATGAAATACTCTTGACCTGGGGAAACGTTTACATAGAATAAACGAGGCACTGTTTCAATGAGAGGGCCGTGAACGTAGCCTGGCGGCAAACACCCCGATTTTCACTGCAGGAGTTGCGGATGCACACCGAGTTTTGAGGACACGATCTTCTTGTCTAAATCAAAGAACAAGTTGCAAAGGGAAGTTGATGAGGCTTATTTATGAAAAAAAAAATATCTGACAAATGCGTAAGCATGGCTTCTTTGACTCTGCTTCTACAAGGGATTCATTTTTTAGATGGCGTTGTGTGAAGGACACTTACCAGCTCTTAACTTTTAATTTGCTTGTTTGTGGTCGTCGTGCGATTCTGATCGTTGTTTTCCATTTTGACCGTATATATCGTTGGCCAGTGCATACGAATTGTTCACGCACGACCATTGCATGATCACATTTGGCAAGAAAGATAGCACTAAGGAAGTGTGTCACTGATACGAGTGTCATGATGGGGGCGTAACGAGATCACGTGATGACGTGATTCATGTTGATAGAGGCTCGACCTTGGCATTACGCAATAAAGTTGGAAGTTTGCGTCCATACTGTGTACATTTCTTTTTCTATCCGTGTTATTTTAGAGCAGTCATGCGCTAAAACAACACGGATAAAAAAAACTATAGCGGACACTATTTTTACCAGCAAATGTATATAAAAAAATGGAGATATCACTGAAAAAACCAGAAGCTAATACCCTTGAACTTGTTCTGTTAAAACTAGAAATTAGAGCACAAATGGGTTGTACAGCTGCTAAAACTCGCATGTCTCAACTCAAATGAATGATGGCGTAATCAAAAGCTACGGATCATTTTGGCCATGTGCCTGTCACCGTTACCAAAATGCTGACGCTGTGCGTGAGAGTAACGACCTCATATCAGCAATAGAAAGATTTCTCTAGGCATTTACTTTCGCCAGTGTTCGCATGATCACTGTGATGCTGCTTCGAATAGAGATGAAAAGATCCCAGTGGAGAGTAGAATAAAGGGAAAAAAAGCACACTTAGAAGCTTTACCATAAGCTGAATTCATGAATTTTCTGACTTTTCCGACATCCTCTTAACAGTGAAAATTGTTATTATGCTTACTGCGTAACCGAGCATTAGTAGAAATGCAGTGTCCTCACAAACCCTTATTACCAACTATGTGATGACAGAAAATAAGAAAAAAAAAAGCGTGGGAGAATTGTTCATTGTTTAATTGAATTATGGAAATGATGTAGTAAGATGAAGGAAGGAAGGACAAAAAAGAAAGGCTGGGGTGTTAATCAGTTTGACAGAAATAGTACGCTACCCTCCACAGGTAAAAGGGATGAGGGAGCAACCAAGGCATTGCTTAAATTCCCAAGGAAAACATACTTGCACGAGCGGCAGACTCTTAATGGTGCCGCATACCGCAGAAGAATGCTGCTCATCCCAGGGATGTTATGTGTGTGCGCGTGTGCTCCCCCGCCCCCCTATCTTGATTTAGCAAAGGAAAACTTTCCGTCAGATTGAGGGAATACAAGATAGCAAACACCTCGGTGATGGCGAATCACATATGGCATACGAGTCAGCTTGTTTTTGTTGCAAAAAGCGAGATCTCCTGATTAACAAGGTGATTTGCACGATATACCGCGTCTCATTAGAATATACGCAATTTCACTGCGATAACGTACATAACGATAATCATAACCAGTTGGTGCGAAAAAAAATTATGCATTAGGTACAGTTGAGCGCAAAGCCTGAAGGTTGTAGTGGCCGGGCTCAAAATGAAGGCGCTACAGCCCCGCGAACGAAAGAAATAATACTCCGAGAATACGGTATAGTTGTAGCGACACTAAGAAGGGTTCATAACAATGTTCCGTTCTGTCGGCACGAACAGCGGTGCTGCACGTCAAGTTGGCCCCTGGTGCGGCACGTGGGCACCGGAAGAAGTGCTTGCGAGAGGAGATGCGCGTTTCGCGAGTGACGCATCATCGCGGTTACAATACAATATGCTGCCATGCGGCGCTCAGTTCCTCGTTAGATTTCAGTCTGCACGTACCGACACGCTCACCTCACGCGTAAAAGGGCGATCTCCGCGATAGAGAGAGAGAGCCTAATTAGTAGCGAGGGGATTATGGGCTTCGAAAGAAAATGACTCAGTACATGTAGTACGTCGCCGGAATGCTCTGCATAGTTAGTCTGCTAAATAACATAGATGAGAACGATGCGTTTTCTAAGGAAGACTTCATAAACCTTCGAAAGTCGCGGACCTACATATGGGCTAGCTTTTTACCGATTATACAGTGTTATTGTTTTTTTACATGGTACTTTTTGAACTTACTTGTTTGCTTTTGCAGACAACTGACGAGTGTCGTTGTGGGTATTAGTTCGCGTCATTATTTTTATTACTTTAGAACGTTTTTATATCTCTGTAAGTGTTAGGTAAGCACTATTTTCCTTTGTCCTGCTGACTTATCAGCTATAGGAATGATTTCATCCCCATGTGAGCCCGATTTCAGGACACATTACCAGAACTATTCCGATGACAAAAACAAAACAAGGTTTACTTGTCTCAGCCTACGCCCGGGAAGGTGCAGAATGACATTGATCTCCGAAAGCTCAGCCTGTACATGATACAGCATGGTTGACAGATGTTATTTTGGCCTTGTGTGTGCAATTGAACCCGCTTCACTTTCCTTGAGCAGTGCAAGAGAAATGAAGCGGCGTACCCTTAAATATTTCTTGCATGCGCATACGCAGTGAAGTAAGAAAGAATGAAACAAAGAAAAAATGCAAACCACACTCACCTCGATTTTCTTGGCTTTTTCGGAAGGCAACACGACGAGGCTAGGCATGCCTTGGAGAATGGCGCGCAGGTCTCGAAGGAAAGTGCCGAAGAAGGGAATGACCTTGGAGTGTGGGATGTTGAGCGCCCTCTCCACGGCAGCCCGGTACTCTTCCGAAGGCTCCGGATTCAGCAAAGCCTGACTGAGAAACTCCAGCACCGGAAGCTGGTCCTTGTCGGACAGCGACAGCCAGAAGGGCTTCAGCTTCTCGGACCTGCGCGCAACAACTCATCGGTGCCCCTTCCGCAGGAGAATGCCCGCGCGCTAGTGACGTAACACACGTGACGTAAGCAGGCGCGGACATAACACCTGTGGGCATTCGTACAAACCAAAGAGGGGAAAAAATAAGCAAACACCCAGTGAAATGTTGTCAGCTCTTCGGCTTCTGTTTTGAGTTTTGTATTACCTTATGCGTTCCGAACATGGTTCTCAAAGAAATGAAGATAAAACGCCATTTCTCTTCTTTCTCTAAGTGGCGCGTGCATGTTTTTTTACGAGAAACAAGAAATGAAAAAAGCGAGAATAGTGCGCTCTTTCACAAAAGGTAACTGCAAGAATGTAGTGGCTTCCATCATCTGCTGCACCTGACATCATTCAAGGCAATGGTTACCAACCTCCCCCAGATGAAGGAAACAGTACCGACTTTTCATATAACATCCCGTGTCCCACACCGTCCTATTTGGGACAGCTTTATGCCCAGTATTTGACCCGAACCGTTTACGGAGTTAAAAATTTCGTCTGGTCCAACGCACACCAACAATGCGTATCCCGTTGCGGAACGCGAAGTTCGCACGAATCGCACGCAAGAAGTAATGTTGAGGGGGCGATGGGCCTTAGGAACTTTAGCTGAGCTTCTGTGTGAAGTGCGGCAATTTTTCTGAGAGCATTTTACAGCAAGAGCGGAAGTGTTGCGAGCAGCATTTTTTGATACCACTTCAAAAGACCGCAACAGTAAACAATGGGTTGACCTAAAAGACACCACAATAAAGAAAAATCATTTTGGTAGGTGCATGGACCCATTCTTAGTTCTGTGTCTCTTCGAATTCTCGCCGTATTTTTGAAATGTCACCCTTTGTAACTGGCTTATACCCATTGTAACTTAATTTGCACGCAGCAGGTGTTGTCGGTGACCCCGTCCTTTCCGAGGCGGAGTGCTAGAAGGCCACGGTGTACTTACGTTTGGTTTACAAAATACCCAATGAAAAATCCACCGGGTCGTTTAGTCTAATAATTCTAGACTATTCATCCGAAGATCGCGGGATCAAATTCTGGCCGCGGCGACCGCATTTCCATGGAGGACAAACGGCAGAAACCCGCGTGCTTCAATTTAGGTGAACATTAAAGGGCTCCAGGTGGTTAAAATTGCCGGAGCCCTCTGCTCTGGCGTCTCTCATTATCATATCATCGTTCTTCGATGTCAGCCCCCCCCCCCCCCAATTATTATATGTTCAATAGGAAAGTGAAGTAATCTAGACCCTGTGTACAACAACGTCTTTTATATTGCAGATACTGCATTGGGAATGGAAACGTGATTATGAGCTAAATCACAACTTTTAACCATCAAGGGGCACACGAGATGTCGCCAATCTTTGTTCTTGAAAACCTTTTCCACTCATCTTTTCGACGCGAACATGACGATCGCATTTGCCACTCGACAAGCCAATTGACCGCCACTAAATATCGGGTTTTCAAGGACTTGAAAAATTACAGGCATATCAGCTTACTAACATTGCATTTTACCGGTACTTACGTAGGTAGCGCTAACCTACATAGAGGCTCGCAAAACGTTTTCAACTTAAATTGACGACCACGCAGCGAGCAATGGAAAGGAAAATGATCGGCGTTACCTTAAAAGACAAGAAGAGAGCAAAATGGTGAGGGAACAAACGGGTGTTAAGGATAATATATTTAATCAAGAAAATGAAATGGCCATGGACACGTAGCGCGTTGGCAGAATAACCACTGGTCATTTAAGGATCACTGAATGGATTCGAAGAGAAGGGAAATACGCAAGGGGGAGAAATACGCAAGGGCATATGAGATTAAGAAGTTCGACTATTCGAAATGTCAGCAGCGAGCACGAGACCGGTTCGACTGGCGGAACATGGGAAAGGCCTTTGCCTTGCAGTGGGCGTAGTCAGGCAGTGATATCGCGTTGATATGAACGTATAAATAGCCTCTGAGGACGGATAACATCGCGTTGATATGAACGTATACATAGCCTCTGAGGACGTGTAACACAAGAAAAGATCCCTGTTATTCACTGAACTTTCAACGCTCAAATTTTATTGAAAATGTTGCAACTTGCATTCATTTAACTGAAACTAAATGCTCTAGCTTAGTTGACACGAACAAACTGGGACACAAATAAAAGTGGACGCACTTGTACTCAAGTTTAGAGACTAACGTTCAGTGCTACGTACATAGGGGGCGTTTTCGTTTTCAGCCTATATGTCCAGGTGGAGGTTCACTTTGGCTTGCAGGAATGCATCCATCTTTCTATGCTTGAATTACCTCGGAATTGCAACCGCTTGATCAGACATCGGAGGATTATATTTGTGCCGACTCAGTGTGCTTAGTGCATTAAAGTGAATTTAGGTGACTTTGGAGCAAAGAACTTGATGAAATACTGGTAGTAAAAACTGAGCACTTCAACTGTATTGGCTTTAAGGTGGACGCGATAAATAAAATGAAAGTTGGATAAGCCCGCTTAATGAGGCAACAAAGTAGCAGAGTGGAGTATGCGGCCATGAAATATGCGTGTCGAAGTAACTGAACCTGGAGCAAAGCAGGAGTAAAACAAGTAAAATAAAAAGCCACAGTTTCTCTGCAAAAGCGAACAATGAATGCGATAGCAACAACTTGGAATATAATGTTGAGAACGGCAAGCAGATCGAAACGTGCAGCGCGCTGCTCACGCACAAACGACGCGAGAAAACAACACACACAGGACGAAAGCCAACAAACAATGTTGACAGCTTGACCCTTAACGCGTTGTTTAAACAAAAAGGACTCTGAAATTTAATCACAGGTACAGATATGAGTGCAAACTAACAAGTGTCCCAGTTGTTACTTCGGTGTGTTTGGAAAGCGCGCTCTTTTCGCAAACAAGGCCTGTCCAGTGATTGATTCTTATGGGGGTTTAACGTCTCAAAACCACCATATGATTATGAGAGACGCCGTAGTGAAGGACTCCGGAAATTTCGACCACCCGGGGTTCTTTTAACGTGCACCGAAATCTGAGCACACATGCGTACAGCATTTTCGCCTCCATCGAAAATGCAGCCGCCACCGCCGTGATTCAATCCCGTGACCTGCGGGTCAGCAGCCGAGTACCTTAGACACTAGACCACCGCGGTGGGGTGCCTGTTCAGCGAGCGAAGTGATCGTTGTGCACCCGACAACTAAACGCAATCGTTGCGATGAAAGCCGAAGGCGCGCGATTCTCCCCCACCATAGGATGAGTGCGCGGATAAGGCCATTTCCCTCCACGGGGCAAAGCACGCGTTGGAGATGAGGACGCGTCCGCCCATCGCGAAGAGATGCGCGACGAACTTTGCGCTGAGCGCGCTCATTGCGCCATCTCGCCGGTAATGCGGAAAACGCGCTATTTTACCCCGTCGTAAATATAAATAGCTTGCAGTTTCAATGATGAAGGAGGTGCTTCTTCGTGGCTAAGTGACTACCATCACGCGCTCACCAAGGGAAGGTCGGACGTTTGTTTTCGAGAGCTGGAGTCTTTTTTGGGGTTATCTTTCTTATATATATATATATATATATATATATATATACGGTGATTGAGAGAGCGACGCTGGTAGCAAAATTTATGCGAGAGTGCCCACATAATCGCTATCACAATAATAAAAATATACGACAGTGAAAGGACGGGCAGTCCACCAAGGGAAATTCCTTGCGCATTTCAACAAGCTACAATGGGTCGACGCCTTGCCTGTGGTTTTTTTGTTGCAAAAGCAGTCATAAAGACACTCTCGGCTGGATTTTGGCGCCGGCGTCGACAACGGCGTCGTATTGTACTCGGCTGCTAACCCGCGGGTCGCAGGATCGAATCTCGGCTGTGGCGGCTGCATTTCCAAGGAGGCGGAAATGTTGAACGCCCGTGTGCTCAGATTTGGGTGCACGTTAAGGAACCCCAGAGGGTCGAAATTTCCAGAGCCCTCCGCTGCGGTGTCTCTCATAATCATATGGTGGTTTTGGGACGTTGAACCCCAAATATCAATCAATCAATCAATCAAAAAAGAAAAAAAATACAGAAAAAACACTCTGGCGCGCAAAATTGAACGTGGGACCTCTGTGTCGTGAAAGCGAGGCGTTAACCACTGACCCACCCTGGAGCACGTCCATCATGATTCAAACGGCAAGCTACTTATATCTACCACTTACCGCTGCTCACGAGCTGCTCGGGAGGAAATTGTGTTTTCAGCATTACCAGCAAAATGGCGCAATGAGCGTGCGTCGCCACAATGTGTGGCGGCACCCGCTCTAATCTCCTATGCGTACTTTGCCCAGCTTAGGAAGGGGAGCGATGCTCCCTCGCGCGTTCATACCTCGCGGTGGCGAGGAGGGGAGGATCGTACGCCTTGGCTGGCCTCGGGCTTTACGTGGAACGATTATGCTGTAGTTACCAGGTGCACAAAGAACACAGCAATCATTGCAGTCTCCATCTGCGAAAGGCGCATGCTTTCCAGACACAGCGAAGTAACAAATGACACGCTTATTCGAGTGCAGCCGTATCTGTGAGTACATTTCTTGCGTCAATTGTGCGTGAGAAACGTGGGGCATATTTTCATCTGCTTTCCATTCTGCGCGTGGACCTTTCAATTTGTTACTATCGCATTCATTGCTTTACCTTTACTGCAAAGCTGTGACTTTTTTTTTCTTTTTCGAGACTGCGCCAATAGCCCCCAGTAGTGTGCCCACCTAGCATGTCGTTTTATACGCTAACATACTAACTATTACCCTGTTTGAATGAACAGAGTCTCGCATTCACATAAAGAAATTTTCTACTCCCGGCGAGATCGGGCTATAGGTGGTAGCACCGTTCCTGCGGAAGTACGGATAGACGGTCAGTGGCGCGTATACGAATACACGCAGCGGTGCCTCACTGCGTGAGGTCTGAGCCGATTGTCGGCGGATAAAATGAGCTGACTACAGTTGACTGTTAATATCTACGCTCTTCTCTACTGAATCGGTGGA